GCCGCGCGGCAAGCGTTTCCGCGTCCAGTGTGCAGGAACCATAAGGAATTAGGAATAAAGAATAAACGATTTCAACCAATCAGAAATCGTGTATTCTGATGTATCCGATTTCTGATTGGTTAAAATCGTTTATTCTTTATTCCTAATTCCTTATTCCTTCTATTGTGCGCAGGGTCTTTGTCTGTGTGACAGATTTCCTAACTCCAATCGTCAACTTAAACGCTTAATATCTCAGTTCGTGAGGCAGAGCGACATTTATTTCTGCCAGATTCTTTCGTTTCATGAAAAAATGCATCGAATCCCTGGTAAAAATTTTTCTCATAATTTTTATACGATTTGGAACATTTTCCAGAAATACTCAGAAATATTCGGAAAGTTTACATCTTTTCTCAGAATTTTTCGTACGAGTGAATTCTGAAATATTCTGAAATTACTCGCCCCATAATTTTTAAAAAATATTTTTGAATTTTTTAGATTTCATAACATTTCATCAGAAATTATATTTACAAAAAATCTTAGAAATATATATATATCTTACGATATTTCATAATTAACATAATTATATGAAAAATTCTGAGAAAAGATGTAGATTTTCTGAAGTGTCCCAATTCGTATAAAAAATGTGAGAAAGGTTATAAAGTTATATAGAAATTCTGAAAAATTATATGAAAAATTCTGAGAAAAATTTTCACCAGGGATAAGCCTAATTTTATTGATTTTTGAGGTATCCAGTGATAAACTATAATTACCTAATTTTCTTTTAAAACTGATTCTACAATGAGTCAGTAGTCGGAAATCTTAAGTCTTAACCAGTCTTATATCGTTTTCAATTGGGGTGCACCGACTGCACTCAGTGTCAAGAGCGTGTTCGATTGGCAGTGCCAATGGCTACGTTTACACCGAAAGGGACTTAAAAATTGATTGGGTCACATTTAGTCCACGCTGGTCCGAATTAGAGCCATCTATCGTATTTTGTACATATTATTTCCATATACAGCATTGTACTCGCCAGAACGTATACATAGCGCTATATTGAGTCGGGATGACAGATATCTTAACCTCTAAAATCTCGAACTTTAATGCATAATACCTCGGTTCGCGAGACTGACCGCCGCATTTTTGCCAGATTCTTTCATTTTAAGTGAAAACGGGTCGAATGAGCCCAATTTCATCAAAATCGGAGATGAGGCCCGTATTATAAATAATTACCATTATTTGTATTATTTTGATTAACAAAGGCATTGGTACTTACGAACTTGAATCGCTGCATGAACTTTTTTCCATCTTTTTTTTTAATATTTTGTTCTTTGCACAAATCAATTAGTCTTTTCACAGTCTAGAAGTAAATAACAAACCGGTTTAACCTAACTATTCAACAAAACAGCAGTGTCCTACCGAGCAAATGACTACGAAGCTTTTAAGTCGGGTCAGTTGCGCGTTTACACCGAGAAAGTAGACTACCTATTTTAGGTGAGGGCGCTAAAAAATCCGGCCTGACCTACAACAGGTCGGGTCAGGGTCAGGTATAGTAGTGTTTACAGCGTGCGACCTAAATAATGTGACCTAAATTAAGTCGAATTTGGGGTATAGACCGCGGACTAAACGTACGGTGTAAACGTAGCCAATGCGTACTTGACTAGTGTCACGTGTTCATTTGACCGCACGATACTCGCGTAGTGTGCACTCAGTGCGCACTAAGTGGCACGAGATATTTTGACGATGCCAGTTCAATGCGTTGGATACATACCACCTTGATCAAAAAGTTCCCGGAATTACCACCAGGTGATGCTCTTAGTCAGTTGATTTGAGTTCTGTTTTTTTGGTTAGGTTGCTACATCTATCATTGACATTTCCACCAAATTTTATCGTCATAGCTTGACATTTGTAAAAGTTACACCGTCTTGAGTACATCTACCTCTGCACGGTTTTCGATTTTTCCATTACCTCCTTTCGGCTTAAAACGCGTTCCCCGTAGTGGTTTTTTGACTTGATCGAACAGAAAAAAAATCGCAAGGAGCCATATCGGGTGAATTCGATGGCTGTTGGATGGTATTCGTTTCGTTCTTGGTCAAAAATTCACGGATGTTGCAAATTCAACTCCATTTTTTAAACTAAAAAATCGAAAACCGTGCAGAGGTAGATGTACTCAAGACGGCGTAACTTTTACAAATATCAAGCTATGGCAATAAAATTTGGTAGAAATGTCAATGATAGTGGCAACCAAAAAAAAACAGAACTCAAATCAGCTGACTCAGAGCATCACTTGGTGGTAATTCCGGAAACTTTTTGATCAAAGTGGTATATAAGATATCAGTGCATCATTTTGTCACAGTATAAAAGGATATACAATAGGGACAAGCAAATCTGTAATTTATAGCATGTAAATGTGTACAATTATTGATAAATATGTACATATATGATATTCTTGATATCTTATATATTATTTAATTACATATAGTAAAAAATCATTACTTAAAGTTATGAACATGAGATGTCGAGGTTATTTTTCTGCGTTCTTCCTGCAGTTTAGTCAAGTCCTTACAATCTTACAAATCGAAATGGCACTTCAGCTTTAGCATTGAAAATCTTAGCGTGTTCTTTTGAACTTCCGCCATTCAGTGCAATCCATGGAACTCGTCCAGTGTTGGGGTGAACTGAGTGCGCACTAGTGCGCACTAACTTTTTCCCAATCGAAAACGGTATAAGACCCAATTGCATCAACGTTACTTTGACTTTAAGCAAGACTTAAAACTCTTTGTTTCTGTCTTTTGCTTTAAAACAAAATAGTTTTAAGTCTTGCTTAAAGTCAAAATAACGTTGGTGCAATCAGGCCTAAGGGCTTAAGGGGGGACTCCGGCACCCACCCCTGGCACCCAAAAATCAGTTCTAACTTTGTAAATTTTTTGGGGAAAAGTAAATAATTTGATTGATAAACCAATTTAAGGATCTTATTATACATATTTTTTAGTGTAGAAAATAATATTTTCATTTCGTTTGAACAACAAAATGGCGGCTTCCTGATCCAATTATGGGAACACTTTTTATGAGACAGGCCCAAGCGGTGTACACGCACCGGCAGGAATGATATCCCTTGGCGTTCGGCGCGCAACACTATACACTCGTACCGAAATGCACACGTACGTGTTACTGGAAGCGCGGAGAGGCGAGGAGCGCGAAGGGAAAAAGTAGTGGGGGACGCTCCGATATTCTGTCCTTAGCGCAAGGCGCACGATTGAGACAAAAAGCGTAATTGAACGTGATGCCGGCTCGTGGTGTCCTTTCGCTGTCTCACA